GCAATATCACACGAGTAGCAATGCGATATGGCTGTATATCTGCACCGGAGGAAGGCATGCGTTGGCACAAGGCTGCAGGCCGAGTGCCTTAGTGCCCCCACCAGTGCCGATATACAGCCATATCGCATTGCTGCGAGTGTGATATTGCGTGTATACAACAGTCTGACGGCATAATTGTGTATATAAAAACAAAATCAAACATGGAGAGTCTCAAAAACCCTTTTGTATGAGGAACTACTTTCTTCCGCGTTGGATTCAAATCATAAGCTGACAGTTAAACAGCTGAGCAAGCATCTTTTAAACTTTAGATCTGTAGTGTCTGCTTTTTGCCAAAGAGCTTAGAATGGCCAAGAGGCGACACTCAATAGAATGTTCCATTGCAACAGCAGCGCTCAGCAACAGCCCTGCATTCCGCCATTTTGGAGTGAAAGTGATCGGCTGTCCATTGGATCTCATAACTGTGGCGATGGCAAGCAGCTGCTTTGTTTTTTATGTATTTATTTAAAAAGCGCATTAAAGCTGAGATACAACCTGAAAGACGACAATACGACACTCACTATCACAGTCATCAGCACTTTTAATAGTTTATTATACAGACTTATAATATGCTGTTGTTCTATTACACAAAGAGTAATGCTGTGTTCACACCAGACGCGGAACGCGTGGATAAATCGCGCTATTCGCGCATAAATTACCGCGTGAACATTTGAATTTACCCGCTTCATTCGCGCATCAACCCCCGCTTCATTTGCCCGTCAAATCCGCTTCAATCGCGTGTCAAATTCACTTCAAAACAGACGTGGATTCGCGTGATGGGCAGGGCTTCTGTCTGCCCAGTGACTCTAGCTTCATAGCTAAATGGCTAACATGGATTTTATGAAGAAAATAACTGTGTTAATGTGCTTTATGGAGACTGAAAAACAGCGTCGAAACGTTTAGGGTCCTGTATGAGTCCACTGCATCCTTTCAGAGGTGCATCCAGCTCTGTGAGCTCATAAACTCCTCCAGAAACTGAACCTGGATGACGGAGACTTTCAGCGGTGCCTCTGACTGAGCCAAGCCCAGTTTGATGACTTGTTGTCAGTGTCGCCTGGAGGACTTGCCCCGGGACTCCATCAACAGGTTCTACGTCACAATCACGCCCCCACAAGAACAAGCTTCTAATTTGTTAACGCGGCGCGAATGTCCGGTGAAGTTCATATTTTCGAACTCGTTAAGCACGTCAAACGCGCAATTCGCCACGCGCGTATCGCGCTATTCGCACCGCGCCATTCGCGCAATTCTCGTCATTCGCTCCGCACCATTCGCGCGTATCGCGCTGCAGGATGTCTATTCGTTCGTTTGCATTGACTTAACATGTAAATCACTCCCGCTTGACGCGCGTGCCGCGTCTGGTGTGAACGCAGCATGAAGAGGCTGTATGGGTGCTGATATTACTTAAATATATCACGGCTGTCAGCCAATCAGATTCGAGAACCAGACAGAACTGTTGTATATATATATATATATATATATATATATATATATATATATATATATATATATATATATTGGATTTAATGCAATTTTTAAGGTAAGTGGTTGCAAACAATTTATATAGGCTGAATTTAAACAATCAGGAGTGTTTTTCCCAAACAACGACATAACTTGTGGCTAAACTATCATAGTATGATGCATTATTTGGCAAAAGAACAATGTAGTGATGAGTGTTTCCCAAAACACAGAGTTTCTCAGTCTGACGTTTTTTCCTATTCTTGCTGAGAATTTCGGTAAAAGTCTGCAGATTTGATGTGGAGGCTGAAGTATGAGAAGGAGCGCTATCCTGCTGGAGAATTTGCCCTCTCCTTTGGTTTGTAATGTAATGGGCAGCACAAATGTCTTGATACCTCAAACTGTTGATGTTGCCATCCACTCTGCAGATCTCTCACACACCCCCATACTGAATGTAACCCCAAACCATGATATTTTATTCACCAAACTTGACTGATTTCTGTGAGAATCTTGGCTCCATGCTGGTTCCAGTAGGTCTTCTGCAGTATTTGTGATGATGATTGGGATGCAGCTCAACAGATGATTCATCAGAAATAGCCACCTTCTGCCATTTTTCAGTTATTATTTGTTGCTCATACAACTGAGAGCGGTGATTAGACTTTTGTCAGGTAGTGTATATATAATTTTGAATAATGAATCATTGTTGTCTTCATTTTAACAATGTTTTGCTTCATTTTAAGTACATTGTTATAATGTAAATGTGACCTAACAGTTGGAGCAAATGCTTGATAAAATACCTCTGTAAACCACAATGCTGTAAAAATAGTGCATCGCTGTCAGAAATGAATGCATGTAGAGCTGTATGGCTGTCCTCCTCCTGGGCTTGCGTGTGTTTATCAGGATGTCCTTGTATGAAGCATCGTTCACCTTTACTCCGGCAGCGTGCTCTGTTTCCCAGGCTCTATATAGGTTAATAGCAGTGCTGGGTGATAAGCATCTCTGGATGAGGGTAATGGTCTGTGCAATCTGGTGTGCAATGGCCACAGGCAGACAGACTTCTGCACCCACGCTATATCTGGACCGCTGCCGTCTAAATCTGGAGCCTGTGGGCTGCGGGTCTCCCAGGTGAACTCTTTCCTGACGCTCACCGCCGGATTTGTGTCTGTGAAATGAAAGAACAAATGCAGTGAAGAGCGGTGTCATGCGTTACAGCCGTTGATTTCTGTCGGCTTGTTGTGCTGTGAGAAGAAATGCATGGGTTTATTGTCAATATATGCTTGAGTTTTGTTTATTTTTGTAGTATAAATGTCTAAATAAAATCAACAATATCCAGCTATAAGACGTAAATATTAGGTTAGGCCACCAGTAGGTATGGGTATTGTTAAGGTTTTAATGGTATGACTACTTTTATCGATACCACTCATTAGTTTGGTACTTTAACGGTTCTCTTTTTGGTACATTTTGTAGTGTTTTTAATGTAAAATAAAGCAAAACCAATAATTGTAAAACAAATAAATACAAATTTTCCTGTAAAAGAATGTACAATGGTTTTAAGGTTTATTACTCTCAGTTTTTAACCTTTTTTCTTCTGGAGAAAAATCAACATGTTTACCTTTTGTGGCAGAAGTCAGGATCTTTCTTGGTTTCTTGTGCTCCATGCAGTTGAAAATACCCTCTTTTAGCTGCAAAAATGCAGTTAAATAATCATATAATGTGTAGGATTTTTCATTATCACATTCTCCTAAATGAGTCACCGCTGTTTTGGGAGTTAACAACGTAAAAATAAGCAGTTTCTTTTATAATTTCTTCATAAGAATAGTTTAGTATTAGGCCATGGGCATTGCTAGACATAAAGCTCTACTGGTCTACTGGTCTAAAAAAAATAATATATATATATATATAGTTGAAGTCTTCCCCCACCCCCCCCCCCTTTTTTTTTTCTTCTTTAAAAAAATATATCCCAAATTATGTTTAACAGAGCAGGGTAGTTTTCACAATATGTCTGATAATGTTTTTTTTTTTTTTTTTTCGGTTAGAAAAAAATATGTTTTTAATTTTTTAAAAGCCATTTTAAGGACAAAATTATTAGCCCCTTTAAGCAATATATTTTTTTTCGATAGTCTACAGAACAAACCATCGTTATACAATAACTTGCCTCATTACCCTAACCTGTAGAAGTGTCTTGAAAAATATCTAGTCAAATATTATTTACTGTCATCATGGCAAAGATAAAATAAATCAGTTATCAGAGATGAGTTATTAAAACTATTATGTTCAGAAATGTGTTGAGAAAACCTTCTCTCTGTTAAACAGAATTTGGGGGGAAAAAATAAACAGGGGGGCTAATAATTCAGATTTCAACTTATATTTTTATATATATATATATAAAATAAGAAAGTATATATAAATATAAAAAAGTAACATTATGATTGTTATTATACATATTATTCTAAACAAATAACAGAAAGTAATCCTAAATGTAACTGGGAAAAAAATGGAAAGACAAAACTGCAGTGATGCTAAGATAATTTAAGAAATCTTTTGCATGATTATTAATTTTATTACAATAAAATTCTATAGACAATTCAATAGAATAATCAGCCGGAATCATCTGAGGTGAAGTGACGCGACCACAAAATCGTGTCTTTATTTCTTCATTTTAAGCAAAAAAAATTGCGACTCTCATTTTAGCCAGAATCGTGCAGCTCTACTACACGATGGAACAACTCAATGGATACTCTGGAGCGCAACATCGAGCAACAAGCTGCAATAACAGCAACTCTTTTGAGCACAGAGGTACGCAAAAATGCTTGTCAACATGATACACTGGATAACGCCGACATCAGCGACGCTAAAGAAATAGTAAACCTACTTAAACCGCTGAAAAGGGCCATGACTCTCCAGGGCTCGAAATTGCGACCACTTTGGTCGCATATGCGCCCGAAATTTTATCTATGCGACCTTAAAATATATTTGGGAGCATTTCTGCGAGTGCTTAAAATTGTTATGTGCGACCAGTTTTTACTGTAAAATGTTCACCACATGCGCGGATTCGGGAGACATTCACACAGAATGCATCTCTGCACTTGCAACGCGCAACGCAGCGCTCGGGAATGGTTTAAAACAGTTGTCATGTCAACTTGCTGCAGTAAACAAATCCAAGTCCGTAATGCATGCCCCGCCTTCACGCTCTTCTTATTGGCCCACTGCTCTAGCACTGAACGCGAATGATTGGTTAATATCAGCTGTC